CCCCCCCCCCCCCCTTTGTTGTCAGTCGTCGTCGTCATCGTCTTCTTCTGCCTCGGATGGAAGCCGGGCCGCCATGAGGCGGGCTGTGAAGGACTGGAAGGTCCAGAAAAACATCAAGGGTTCCGTCGGCAAGGGGGACAAGCACCTCAGGGTACGACCGAAGTTGATCTCTCGAGTCTCGTGAACGAATGCCCAGTAGCCTGCGCAGAGGCTCTCGAAGTACTGAAACAGCTAAGCTAGGGGTTGGGGTCACTGTCTGCGTCCCCCCTACCTGGTCGTTTTTCGCACCAAACTTCACTTTCGTTGCGTAGGCAGCCCCGAATGCCGGCCGCCTCGTTTTGGGGCTGTTTAGTTGTTGTTTTGCAGCGGCTTCCGAAGTGCTGGCTGTTTCCGCTGTCGTGGACGGTCAGGAGAAAGGCTCCCTCATGGGAAGGGGCGTCAAGAGAATCGCTTCATTTTCTTCTTTCTCAAAAAAAAAAATCTGCCGTCTGTGTTCGAAACTGCTGGCACTGGAACGAGTAATGTTGTGTAGCGATCAACGCTGCACTCAATGTTGTAGCTACTTGTTTGGAACGTAGCAATTGTGGTGGCTATTGAACTACTTCGAACACACCTGCGCTTCTGGTAACCAGCGCCCCAACGCACAGGCGCTCGCGTACACATCCTCCTGTTGTTCAGATTTCTGAGGTGCTTGTTTTACTGCCATCGCAGACCAAAAACAGAGGCCCCGCAGAGGAGCTGAGTAGGGGGCATGACAAACCCTAATTGACGCAGTTTGCTCGTTTGTATGGCTGCTGAGATGTAAATTTATGTCGTAAACCCCGGCTGATACGTCAGGTATAGACGCCGATAGGCCTGTCAGCTGGCGCCAGAATAAGATGGGACGAACATACACACACGCGCTTCATTGGAATGCTAACGAAAACATTTTTTACCGTCTCCCGTACCACCTTGTTTGGGTAAGAGTGTCCCAGCAAGGAAATAACACAGCGATGAGGTGTTGTGTATGCATGCTACCGTTTTAAGGGTGATGCCCAAGGTTGCGACCATCTCGCGACACCGTTACTGGCAATTTTTGTTCAGCTTCGTCCGCGAGAACCGAGCGCAACGATGTTGCGACCCCGATGGCCACCAGCGCGCACGCACAACATGATGTTGCCGCTTCGCATCCCTTGTTGCTGTCTGTTGGATTCCTTGTTTGTTGTTCGTCTTGCGCTTGTCACTTTGCATGCCTTTCTCTGAAAAGCTGTACAGTACTGGGCCCGCTATAGTGCCGGTACGTGCCCAGAGATAATATCGGCACTATTGAGGGCACCGGCACTAATCAGAATAGTGCCTCAATAGTGCCGATTCGGCACTATTGAGGTTTCGAATATCCCTCAATAGTGCCGGTCCGGCACTATTGAGGAGATGTTTGATTTCATGCTGTGGCGCTCATGCGTTGCGGGGCTAACAGGGTACGAAATGGATCAAACTTTGTGAAGGTCTACCGTGGGCGTAGGCATCCTTTCTCGCGACAAGTATGGTTCCCCCCTGTTGCACACACAGAGGGCGAGTTGTAAGAAATATTTACTTGCATGTTGCACCGTTACTTTCTGCCTGCCTCAGCACATGAACTGTACTGCACACCCTGAACTGTCGAAACTGCTGTTGACGGCAAGATGCTTGTAAAGCTCCCGTTCGTACAGAGTGGACGTAGCTATATCTCAGCCCTCCTTCGATGTTGCAAGATATACAAGACAAAACAGAAAAAGAAACATGACAGGAAGCGCACTGCAAGAAAACAAAAATCAATACTACTGCACTACAGTTGTATCCCCCCCCCAAACTACGTCGCGACACTGGAGTGTCTGCCTGGCGTACCCGCTTCGATGTTGCAAGAACAAAAAAAAAAAAAACTACAAGTACACGACAGGAAGCGAACCGAAACAACCATGAACTCTACGTCGCGACAATCCTCTGATGTCTGTCTGGCGCACCCGCCTAGCGGAATGCGCTGCGATCATCGACATCTTCCCTTTCGTTAGGTAGAACGCCGCGTCTCCGTTGCCACTGTCCTCTGCTGCCACTTCCAGGGCGCCGAAGTGAGACGACAGTTCTTCATAACCCGGTGGCGCACGTGAGGCACGGCGCTCGCGCTCCGTGTTCTCACCGCCGCCGCCCTAGTCCTGTTCGTCCTCCTCGTCGTCGCCGCCGGTAGACAAGTTCGTTCCAGCCAGCAGTGCTGTCATGTCTTCCACCGCGTCCAATCGAAGAGCCTCTACCACCTCCTCGTCGTCCTCGATGGTAGCCCACCCCTGAATCGCGGCCACCGCTTCCCCCGCGACCGGCTTTCCGGGTTCGATGTTGAGTTCTGCCAACAGTTCGCTGATCTCCTCGTCCACGACGCAGGATCCCTGCTTCTGGGCGTCCTGCACGCTCGTGCTCAACGTGTTGACAGTCTCTGCGAGAGCCTTCAGGTCAGGCTCGGCGACGTTGAACCGGGTCTTTCCGTGTTGCTTGGTGAGCTCAGCCGCCATCTCCTCCGGAAGCGTCTCGGCTTTGACAAAGCACCTGGCCAGGTAGCGCAGAAATTGTGATGCATCCGTGTTTGGGTGGAGAAGCGATGTTAGACGAACCCAGTGACAAACAATGACTCATAGGGATGCGAGAGAGGGCCCTTTTTTTAGCGAAGAAACAAGGAGATTTGCGGTTGCGGGAATATTCAGTCGAAAAATAAAACCTATCCGTACAACCTTACCCACGTAACGTACCACCAAAGCCATGCGCACTTGCGCGAGCTACACATTTAAAACAGCGATATCACATGTTCAAACCTCACCTGGCGATGTCTTGAGCGGTGACGCTGGCCCATGCTTTCTGGAGACGTTCAGCGGCGTCCCGCACGTGAGGTTGGTGCCCTTGCGCTAGCCCCATTGTCCCGGCCTTCATCTTGCGGGCTTTGGCCTGGGCGCGAAGTGTGTCAGCCACCAACATGGTTGATGTCTTCACATCGAGCAGCTCCTTCCTGTAGTTGACCTTCGTCTTGGCGATGACCCCCTGGTCCATGGGTTGGTGTACGGCGGTGCACAGCGGAGGGTAGGTCATGACGGTAACTTGCCCGCGATCATCCACTAGATCACTGTGAGACGAACAGCCGTCCATCAGCAGCAGCACAGGTTCGTGAGTGAAGCGCCGAACGAACGGGAGGAAGACTTCAAGCCACCACTTGAGGAACGTCGCGGAGTCGGACCACGCGTTGGTCTGCGAGAAGTACTTCAGAGGTGAACCCCCGTTCTTGAAGCAGCGGGGTTCCTTTGCCCTCCCGATGATGGCCATGTCCACCTTCGCAGTGCCATCGGCATTGCAGCACATGATGGCAGACAGTCGGTCCTTGAAGTGCGTGCTCTTTGAGCCCCGCGCCGTCTTCCGATCCTCCGAGGTGGAAAGGTACGTGCGCCTGGGCATGAGCTTCCACTGGAGGCCTGTCTCGTCGACGTTGAAGATGAACCTAGCCGGGTACTTCTCGGCNTTCCGGGCTTTGTCGAGTAGATCAAGAGCTATCTCATCCACCTGCCGCCAGCNCCTCGCCATGAAGTCTCACGCTCTGGATCTTGTTGCGCTTCACGAAGTTCGTCGCCCACCTCTCGCCGGCCTTGAAGTCCTCGACCCTCTCCCTCACTGCTGCAGAAGTTGCGGTGTCAGTCAGCAGGGTTGCCCTGGCAGAACGGTCGAAGCTTCGAAGGACATCGCGTGTGACGGGCATCTTGGCCTTCCGGGCTTTGTCGAGTAGATCAAGAGCTATCTCATCCACCTGCCGCCAGCAAACGAGTAAACAACGCAGAGAGTGCAAAAGATCGAACGGTTAGTTTCGAACGTCAGCATGCTAACCTACACTGCGCGGCGCGGGCAGGCGGACGAAGCGTACCCTGTTACACTGAGCTCACACGTTCGAGTATTGTTCCCAATTGTGCACTTGTGTGAAGTACACTTTGACAAAAAAGCGGCAGGTACAAACAAGAAGCGCTGCCGTGTTGTAGTAATTTACTGGTTTAAAATTGAAAAGAGGGTGTATGCGACAGCACAAGGAACGAATGAACGATGAAAGCGGAGAAAGAAGAAAAATGAGAGACAAAAAAAAGGAAAGAAAAAAGCCGAAAAAAGACAACAAACCAAAGGAGAAAGAACGACGAAAAAAAAATTGGACATCCAGCAGCGAACGAACCAGGCTCGAAAAAAAAGGCCGGCAAAAACAATGGCGGGGGAAATAACCGAACGTCACAGCATTGCATGTAGGCACCTCCGGAAAATCTCCTTTGCGTGCAGTTTTCTGGCTGCCGCAGCCTGCAGCAGTTGCTGTCTCCACCTTCTGCCGGCCAGCCTTCACGGTCCCAATAAACCGAAGCGAGCACTTGAAGCGGTCTGCAATCTGTGCGTGAGACACCTTCTGATCCAGCATCTTCAGAATCTCGAGCTTCTAGTTGTTGTCCAGCCGCGCACGAGAACCCGTTCCCTTCTTGCTTCCCCCGCTTGTCTGCTTATGGCGTTTAGATGGTCCCGCCCCAGCACCCTTACCTGGTGTCGCTTTGCGCTTGCTAGTCCTGGCGACGCACGTGCTGCAGATGCGGTGCTGCTCGTTGTCCTCAAACACGCTCCCGCAGTTGCCGTGGAGCCGCCCGCCACATCCTCCCTTGCAGGGGTGGCCATGAGGGGGTTGCGGCGTCCTGTCTTGTTGAAGGCACAGTTCACCTTCCGCACAAGGCATGGTGCGCCTCTGCGTAGAACTCTTCGGGTCTGCAGTAGCACGTGTACCCTCTGTGTTGCGTATGTCCGCTGTCTTTTGCGTGTGTTATTATTAGCATCGACCGCGCTAACCGGCTGACAAATGAAAAGACGTCAGTCTTAGTGCGGTTGAAAACACAAAACACTTCTATCTACCATGAACTGGGACCCCGTGAGGGGGCAGCATGGGGGAGGCTAAGCTATCCTTCGGAT